GAAAGCTTACAAAAACAGGCCTGGCTTCGTGGCTTGTACCAAACTTGAAACTCTTTGCAAGTGCATAGTTATAACAGAAATATTCATCGAATCAGTTTATAGGTTTATATCCAACTCTGTGACGTTTACACACTTACACTGTGTTCTGTGAGAGTCCTAGAAACGTGCTGGATGCTGTAGTACAGAGGAGCAATCACTGTTCCACGTTTAACACTCTTATAGTCAATAATTACAAAAAGTGGGAAGAGAACCAGAAACTGCAAGAGTGAAAGCAATGCGGCGTTTTCCTCAGAGCCACGTAGCAGGTCAGTGGCCAGGCTGGAAATAGGAGTCTGGTTGTATCCCCTCAGAACAATAGCCCACTCGCTTTAAACTACGCTATCTGTCTTGGGAGGATCAGAAACGTGACGGACCACCAGAAAAAAAGCGTACAGACACAGTTGTTGTGACTTGGATATGGAAAAGAAATGCAAGGAAATGACCAGATACGGACGTCACAGAAAGTATGTGAAAGTATAACCTTTGTCATGGAGAGTTAACTGCACGACAACCTAGTCCATGATTTCTCCCAGGTTCTTTCTATCTGCGCTTTCTGCTTTTCTATCATTGCTTCTGAATACAGAGACACTACAGGTTTTGCAGCTGGCATCCTCTTGACCTGGCTGATCTTTAAAGGCCAAGTCTGAAGTACTACTTGCCTGTATATCAATGTCTGGTGGATGTTATGTAGATTACTTTCCCAGCAAGCCTCCTAGAATAGATCCAGCTATGCCAACAGAAAACTTAGCAATGCTTACTTTGAGGGACTAGTGTTGGCTACATCAAGGAAGCAAGTACCCCCTTGGAAGGTGTGACCATGTTAAGGGTATGCCTGGGCTACAGACTGAAGTGTAAAGTAGAGCTATCTGAATTAAATGTAAATTAATGTATTCAGGTAACAGAAACAGTCACGCCATGAAGCTCTGAGCTAATTTCTGTCAAGAGGCAAAATAGAGAGGTACTCAGAAATGTCAAAATGAAGGCTTTTGCTCAGATCCATTTCTTAAAGTCGTTATCTGCCTTTCTTTTTGAAAGGTGTGTAACACACTCAGATCTTCTTCCTGCTTCTGTGGCACAGTTTCGGTCATGAACAGTTTGCAATATCAAAGTCCTTTAGCAGCTGGATGGGTGCCTTTCCCCCAGGCATGAGTAACATGGTATTACCTGGTGGGTTTGGCCAAAATGGTTTAAACAGAAAAAATGACAAGATGAAACAATAAAGAGAACCAAAGCCTTCTTTCCTTGTAGTGAGTCACGAGGCTGATCATAATGAGATGTTCTACAGCCATTATAACATAATACTGTTTACCATACAGGAATTATTAACCCTTTTGCTACTGAACACTTGTAAAGCCAACAAAACATTAAGAAGCCTGTGGATGGGAAAAAAACCAAACAACTTACAATGCAGGTTGGCATCTTATTGTTCATCAGGGACTTAAGCTTCCAAATTATTTAATGGTTTGGTAAGGATGTTCAGACATGGGTGTAGTAAGGTATGGCCAGTGTGGCTTGCAGGCACCACTTACGTGGGGGAATGAATGCAGAGGTGCATAGTTGTGTGGGCGGCCTGAGGCTGCTTGACCCAGAGCTCACGTGTTGGTGTCGCTGGGAAAGGAGACAGAGCTACTGTCCCCTTCACCTCCTTGGTAAATCTGCTCCTGGGTTTTGTAGCTGGCTGACAGGTTGGAATCTGGCAAGGTCAGACGATTGAAAGATATTTTAATTTTACAAAGTAAACACCTGTCAAAGTCATTTGCTTAGGAAAGCAAGTCAGTTGGTCAAGAAGGAAAAAACAAGTGCTTTGTTTTGATCACTTCTTCCCTTTTTTATGCATATCTAGTCTTTCTCAGTCAGGAGTCACTCTGGGTTGAAGCCTGTCTGCACCCCATCAGCAAGCGATTGTCTTGATTTATTTTGTAGGAAGGAATTTTGAAAACAGTTATGAAAGCAAGAAGTAAAATAATGAACTTAACGTTCATCTAGGGAATCGCTTTCTTAAGTGTCTTCTCCCAGACCTACTACCATTTGGTGCTGCCAAATTGAAGGACATTTGCATTTTAAACATTATCACCCATGTTGAGGAACTCGTTAAGGTCAAGAAGGGAAAAATCTGAAGTCATTGTCTAAGCCATCCTCTAGCAATGTCAAGATTTTTCACCATGCTGTATTTGCCTTTGCAGCAGAGGTGCCAATATTTCTCTTGGGATATACACACTATTTCATCTAGTTCTCAGGAACTTTCTTTGGATGCTTAGCTGCATTAGCATATTGTTATTTTTATCCTCCCTGCTATTAGTCATTCTCTTACAGACAAAGCTAAAAACCTGTCTTTTCTAGAACCACCTCTGTGTTCTTCAAATATTTGTAAATCTGAACATATTGTTCTTTGGCAGCAGAAGAATATACTTCTGATTTTAGTTTGGGAAAGAAAGATTATTTCACTTCCCAGATTTGACACTTCCACATATCAAATCAAATAATAGTTTATTGATCTTTCTAGAAAATAAAATTACACAAATGCTTACATTTATAAAGTCATAAATGCTTACATTTATAAAGTCATCTTCTCGTAATGTTTCTTCTGTATTTCTGGGCATATGGACCAAATAAGCAATTTATTTTATAAAACTTGTTCAGTTTAGAAAGAAATTTTGTCAGGTGATTTCTGTGTGTTTTTCACATGGACTGTCAAGGAAGTCTTCTCATCTGCCTCTCTCAAACTTACCAGCAGTGTTAATACTTTATTTGTGGAATCACATTTGGCTTCTGCAATTCAAAAGCTAAAATACAGGAAAGGGGAAAATTATAACTGCAGATGGCAAAGAGGTAGTACGCTCTTAAGAAATCCTGATCTTATCAACATAGGACTTTTAGACGTCCTAAAGGAAATGGGGAATGTTTTCCCAGAAATACCATAAAAACAGAGACTTTTCTCACATCTTTCCATTGCCTTTGCTTTGCTTCAGAGGATTACATGCTTGCTAACCAAGGTACTGGAAAGGCATGAGACAACACAGAAGGTACTGGTGTGGACCTGAGGATCAGAACAACGTCAGATTATTCTTGTTGGGTTTTTTATTACTTTCTCACTTAGGGTGTGGTTGTGGATGATAATCAGTTGGCTTGTTGGTTTTTCCCCCCCACAAATCTCTTTATAGTCTTGTGGTAAAACTTAACAGATAAAGGACCCACCACTGTACCCAGTGGTGCAACCAGTAGCAGGGACTACAGAGAGGCATTGTGCAGAGCTGGGAGTGAAAGGGCAGGGTAGAGAAGAAAATCTGAAAAATTGAGATAGTGCCACTTCTTTTCAGATACACTTTGAAATGCATGGATAGTCTGTAAAAACTATCTGTTCTTGGTTTTGCTTTGTTATTATTGCGGTCTGAAAAACAAATTGGTATTATTCTGCTCCGTATATAATTCTCAATTATAATAACCCTTAGAACTTGCACAATGTGTTTTGTCCTTAGATCAAAAGGTTGGGTGAACTTCCATAGAGCTGGGCTGAGGGGCCCAGAAAATCAAGTTACTAAAGACATTATAATGAGCTAATGGCAGGACTTTGGCTAACATGAATATCCCTATTTCATATTCTAAATAGTAACTGACATAAAAATTCAAATTGTCTATTGTGGTTGAGGCAGAATGGAAGTCAAGCTCATCTTTTTTGGGAACTGGTAGCAATTTAAATAATGACTTAAATAGTTTGTTGTTGTTGTTAATATTGTAAAATATGCTTACCTCATAGGTGTACAGCTATACCGAAGTGCTACATTTTACACTTACTTTTCTGCTTGTACTGAAGAACAGTGACTTGTGTAAAACATGGGATCTATAGATTTATCAGAAACAGAAGGCACAAATGCTAGCATTGCTGTATCATATGTAGAACAAACCCATGGTGCAGATGCAGAGTATAATTTCATGCTGGCTGCTCATTTTGAGGAGCACTCTGATTCATTAGCCCAGTGGGAAGAAAACCCTTTAATTTCTGAACTCTGCCAGAATTTGTGCTCATTTTGGAAAACACCTTATTAACACTGCCACTATCTCCTCCAGATAGAGCTGGGATTGAAATAGCACAGCATGATGCAGGCTTCTGGGAAGTGTCTTGGCAGAGTCCGAAACTAGGAAAATAGTGGTCAAAGGTGCCATGTCCTGACGGAGGATGCGGTCAGCTTCCACAATACATGTCAAAAATATGTTTTTCCTTATCCTAACGTACATCCCTAGATCACAGCTTCTCCAAGAGATTTTTCAGAGACGTCCAAGGACTGGCAGACTCTTTCATAAACCAGAGTCTCTTTACTGAACACATCCTGGGCAAAAATGCCACCTAGGCACCTTTTATGGTGCCTTCACCGTATCCCCATGTGGTTTTGTGGTAACAGCAAATGTGCAGGCAAGTATGTGGGGATGGAGTGGAGAAGTGCTCTTCCTCAGCATTCGTTCCTTCTCCCCACTGGATTCTTCTGTAGAGCAAAGGGGATGGGGACAGAAGGGGAAAAAAATGAGAACAAGGGAGAGAGGGAATAAAACAGGCAAATGACAGAAGATAAGTGGAGAGAAGAAATGCCGCCTGAAAGTTTAGAGAGGGAAGCTTTAAAAAATCACTACAACAGGTGGGCTAAGTTTCTTTTTTAGGTCATTATATTTGAATGAAAGCAATACAATCATTGCTGTCGTTCCTTTCACATTTCTTCCTGCATTCCTTTTCTGTGTTAAACTGTCCATTTAAAACTGGCTGAATCTGTTTCTTCATTAATTCTTGCCAGAAATTCTTCAGCATTTTAGCCAAGTCTTTTGATTATCTTTCTTGCCCAGCATATGAATAGGCCTTTCTTGAGCATGCAAACTATTGTGCAGACTGTGTTTTTCTTTTAGTGGAGAGAACTAGGTAGCTTCAGAATAATTAGCTGAAATTTCCTTCCCTCCCCTCTTTTTTTAAAGACAATTCCTCGTCTCTCCAGGAAGATGAAGAGGTAGATATGGAGGCTGTCAACTGGCAGCTGAACAACACCTCAATGAATGGGCATTCATCTACCCCAACCACAGTTCGCTTTCCCAGCTGGGTGACTTTTGATGACAATGAAGTCAGTGTTTCACCGCAGAACCTTTCTCCCTTGAAAACAGACACCCCACCTGCAGAACCACAGACTCCAGATGTTAACTTTAACCTCACTACATCCTTTAAGAAAAGAGAACGTCCTAAAAGCACATTAGGTGACCTCTCCAAAATTCAAAAACTAGATCTCTCCTCCTTAACCAAGTTGCCTTCACCACCATGGAGTGCTACTAATCCCTTCCTGGATGAATCTCTGCGAGATGTCCAACCCTCACCCATCAATCCATTCAGCTCATTCTTTGAGGAGCGAGACAGGCGTTCCAAAAGTTCTTCTGTCTCCAGTGCTCCAGGCAAAAGCCAAAGAGACTCTCTCATTGTTCTCCATCAAGAGCCTGATACCATCAGTTTCCATGAGGCAGACAAAAGTGTAACCCACACAGATGCTGTAGAGCAGCTCAAGCAACTCCAGATTGGAGACCCAGATCGTGTGAGCAGCCCTACCTTGCCTGATGATGACCCCATGATGCCATATGATCTGGATGCAGCCTTATTTAACCTGGCACCAGCTCAGCCAAAGGATGGATGGCCAATGATGCTCAGGATCCCAGAGAAGAAGAATATTATGTCATCCAGGCACTGGGGACCAATATACGTCAAGCTGACTGACAGTGGATGTATACAGCTTTTTTATGAGAAAGGACTGGAGAAGCCTTTCCGGGAATTCAAACTTGAAATCAATCATGAGATTTCAGAGCGCAAACTCCAGAACTATGATGAGAATGGAAGGATACACAGTGTGCGGTTGGACCGCACAACCTACAAGGAGAAAAAGAAGTATCAGCCTAAGCCAGCCATTGCTCACACAGCAGAGAGAGAGCAAATTATCAAGCTTGGGACTACAGATTATGAAGACTTCCTTAGCTTCATCAGTGCTGTGCAAGACACATTGATGAGCTTGCCAGCCTCATCAACAGATCTGAGCACAGTGGGACTAAACTATCAAGAAGAAGAAATCACGGTTGATGTCAGGGATGAGTTTCATGGCATCTTGGCCAAAGGAGACAGTGTGATTCTCCAGCACAGTGTGCTGACCCATATCTATGTTCTCAGCTTCCTTTCTGGCCTGGCAGAATGCAGACTGGGCCTTAACGATATCCTGGTCAAAGGGAATGAAATAGTTGCAAGGCAGGATATTATGCCCACTACTACCACTAAGTGGATTAAATTATACAGCTGTCGGTTCCATTCATGTGTGGATGAGGACATGTTTAATAACTCCCGTATTATCCTGTTCAACCCCTTGGATGCCTGCCGGTTTGAACTGATGCGATTCAGAACTGTCTTTGCTGAGAAAACTTTGCCTTTTACTCTGAGGACAGCTGCCAGCATCAATGGTGCTGAGGTGGAGGTGCAGAGCTGGCTGATGATGTCCACCGGGTTCTCTTCCAACCGTGACCCTTTAACTCAGGTCCCGTGTGAAAATGTGATGATCCGCTACCCAGTGCCAAACGAGTGGGTGAAGAACTTCCGCAGGGAGAGCGTCCTGGGGGAGAAATCTTTGAAAGCCAAGGTGAACAAGGGGGCCACTTTTGGATCAACCAGTCTGTCTGGTTCTGAGCCAGTAATGAGAGTAACTTTGGGAACTGCCAAATATGAGCATGCCTTTAATTCCATCGTGTGGAGGATAAATCGACTGCCTGACAAAAATTCAGGTGAGTGGTGCGTACCATCTCTGCAGGAGTAAACTAATTTTGGAAGTAAACTGTATTTTGGAAGATAGGGAATACTGGGTTTACATGGTGAGGGATAAATCATCCTCTGTAGTATACCAAAGGACATCAGTTAGTTGCATGAAGCATTTATCTGACCCTTCATTGCAGTAGTTTTACATATCCTACAGACATTGCTAACAATAAAAACAGGTTTAGGTTTTCCAGATGCAAAAATATGCTTTCTGTCTCTGCTTTTATGAGTACGTTATGGGACTTAGGCATCAAACACCTCTGTGTGCTTAGCACTGTTATTGGAAGCAGGGCTTTTTCAGGTAGGTTGCAAAGGCAAGATACTATGCTATGGGGCTGAATGACAGGACCAGATAAATTGCGGTAGTTCCAGCACATGTGATTTCTTTTCCATGCATTGCCAAGCATACTGGGCCAGTGCTATATATTTCAACGTGTGTACCACAACTAAGTGGTACAAAGTGTCTGGAATGGGGTTTGTAAGAGGACAGAAGATACTGTGCAACCATTTAAAAAAGAAAAATTTCCAAACACCAGTTTGTGGCTATGTTTCTGTAATTAGTGCAGACAGGTAAATACAGCTTAAACCTGAAGAGAGTATACCAACATAAAACGCACAAGCCTTTGTTTGCATTTCTGGTAACATGTTCATAATTAAAAATTCAAATAATATGAGCAAGCTACTGTTCCCTTTGGCCATCGCTGCCAGTCATTCCACTTCCTGCCTTTCATCCATGGTGTGCAGTAAAGCTAGACAACTCAGGTTTGTTTTTATTCATAGTGAATTCTGCTTCTTGATTTCTCTGATCTAGACTAGCTTTTTACAAATGAGATGCACTTTTCAGTGTTAATGCTGTAGTAATGCAGCTGGGTGACCGGGTTTCCGTATTCGGTGTTCCCTGAAAGTTCAGTGTTGTACCAGATTTGGCACTTTCTAAGGACATATGTTTTTCCTGAGTTTGAGCTATAGCGTCAGCAAAACAATGATCCAAGTCTTCTAATCTTTTGGATCACATTTCGGCCTAAGTACGCCAGCTTACACCAGAGGGATATCACTGACAAAAGTGAAGGCTCCGTGTTTTCTGTAGTGCGGGGCATAAGGGAGCGAGCTCGGGAACTCAAGAGAAATATCGCAATAAAAAATTAACCTCAGACTGTTTATGAGCAATAACATGCTTGTGAGGAAACTCTCAGTATGCCATCTGCATGAGCTCTGGGAGCAAGATGCTGTGAAATTGGGCCTTCTGTGGCATCTTCTCACCAAAGATCTCCATATACCGTATAGACATTACAGCTGGGGAGACGAAAGCCCCCAAACTTTAACATAATCACAGAACACGCTGGTAGCAAACAGGAGAAGAGGCAGAACTCCTGGCTTCACTGCCTCCTGCGAGGTGATGCTCCCTTACCCATCGCAACTTTGAGGGAGAAGTTGATCCATGTCTCCTGTTTCCTTGATCTCGTCTTTCCTGGTGTAAGGTTTTATTATATATACCCTGTGTCAGGGGGAAATGCATCACAGACTTGGCGCTGCTGTTGGAGCCCTGCCGCAGAGCATCTGTGCATCACGGTCACCGTGCAGAACGCAGGGCAGCTAGTATTTGTTTACATCCTGAGAGGAAGAGAGTGTCCTCACCCCTCCGGTCAGGACAGATGTAATTTCAGGGAAAGGAAGGGCCTTGTAAGCACTGTCTTGGCCAGGACACATGAGGTACATGAGAGGGAGGGAATCCCAAAGTGATGACAGGGCAGGCCAAGTGTAGTTTAAATCTGACCTTACCTCTCAAGGACTATTTACATTTCTTGACAGTCCCGTGGTTTTCCTTACTCAAAGTATGTGGCGAACAAAGAGGGAGGTAAGTGGTACTCAAAAGCATTGATTCCCACTTCTTCTTAGATTTGCCTGATGGACCACATACACTTCTGACCATATGACACTGATGTGTGGTCTATTGCCAACCTTGTCCATGCTTGGCTGTATCCAGCCCTATCCACAAGTCATGTAATAACTCACTTCCACCTATTTGCAGAAGTCCCGATAAATGATGCAGTTCTCAAGCACTAAGTATAAAAATATTCCCCTGACTCGCACTTCATGCTCTCTTACTGTGGCAGGTCTGGTCTGCTAATGAACTGCTCTGGTGCCTGGGACAACAGAGCAGGAGAGAGGTGGTGGCATCACACTGCAGCTGGTGAGAAACGCTGCAGGTAGCCACAGTCTCCAGCTCCATCCTGCCTCCAGAGGCCACACAAGTTGTCCACACGGCCTGCGGCATATGCATTGCATGACTGCCTCCAGCACACGTGCCTATCTGCCAGCCCCGTGTGCCTATCAAAGAAGTACATATGTAGGCACAGACTTGCGATGGGACCCTTTGTTCATCCGCGTTGCGTGCTCTGACACATCAGTCCCTTGCAACCGTGATCCCAGGGACTCCAGAGGTCTCCAGGTAGCCACTTGGACCTCTTGTGCTTCACTCCGCTCCCTGAATGCAGACTGGTGCTGGCTCTGTGTAGACGTGAGGCGTATGACACCATCCGCCCCGCCTGTGGTCTGCCCTGACGGCCAGGGCAGGAGGGCCGGTCCCTCCCGAAGCTCACTGCTTGCGCTCAGGTTGAGAATCCTAGCTCCCAAATTGTGAAGAATTATTTCAGCAGCTTCGCTGTCTTACCCAAATGTTTTCTCTTTGTGCTTTCTAATGGGATGGGGCCCTCTGCACTCTCACTATAGGAACTTGTTATCAGCACTGTCTGTATTATTTTGTAGCCAAAGCGTCTGCTTATGACTGGACATTGAAAAGCGTATGACAGATGAAGGAGTGTCTGTACTCTGACTGTGATTTGACCTAAGAAAAAACCATGGACTGGATTCTACTGAGCACATTGCTGAAATCCTTTCCAAAATAGCTTGTTAAACTTTATTGCCCTTCTCATATTCACAATTAATATGATCAAAGCAGTTGATAAAGAAAGCCTATTTACAGGCTCTGCAGAACCTCAGTTGCAGCTGGCTGGCCTCCATATGTTTGGGTTTTTTTAATCCACCAGCAGAATATTAGGAAAACATCTACCCCGTCTTTGATCGTGGGAAAACGCTCATGCACAGCCTTGGATCTGGATATTTGAACTTTGGTCTAGTTTGGCTGTGGATCCCAGGCATGCTGCCTGGTATACTTTCTGAAGTAAATTAAATCATTTAATCCCTGATGTTGGGACATCAGAGTCGTTTGGAACAGATTCCCTCCAATCACGGTAACCCATGCATATATATGAATTATATTATCAGGTCCTTGATTGTTAGAATGAAACGTTAGTAGCTCAAGGAAGCAAGAGATGCAAAACAAAAGCAGTCTGTTGATTTCCTCCTGATTTTACTGAAAAGTGTACCTGTCTGTTCAGAAAGAGCTCTGAATGAGCCTGTTGAACAAAGAGAAAGTCTACAGAAGTTGTGCCTTGTGTGCCTCACGCTCGGGACACTAATGAACACTGATGTGCTTGGTATTCTTGCTATAGCGTCAGTGGAGGAGTTGCTTTCTTAATCAGTTCATCTGGTTGCCTACCGTGCTGAGCTGGTTTAAATGAATAACTTCCACATTTTTTTGAGTGTTGTGCATGGTCGTTTCTGTTAGTGGATACTCCTACTAGAAGAAATTAAATTATTGAAAAATTGCTTTGTTAATTGCATTGCATTAATTTTTTTTGGCTTTTTTTCCCTTCATTTCCCCCCCTGCTTTTTTTTTTTTTTTTTTTTAAAATCTCAGGTGTATTAGAAGAGTGGTTGCTGGTTCCACGTGTCCAGTTGAAATTATGAAGAGTTTAAAAGCTCAGATCTCCAAAGCACCTGTCACGCCGTGTGCTCAAGCCCAGTTAAACACGTCCCAACGTTACCTTCACATGCGTCCATCCCAAAAGCAACCGAGCACATGCCAGCTGAGGAGTGCAGCGGCGCGAGCTGAACGGCAGAGAGCCGCCTCTCCTGGGCTGCTGTGGGCCCCCGCTGCCACCCAGGCAGTCTGAAGGAGGGAGCAACCCACGGCAAACTAGAGGAGGGGAAAAGCATAGCAAAGCAGATGAGCAGGAAGGATTACAATGAGAAGTCTGCCGAGACTGGTACAGGGTGAGGAAAGAGTTACGAACGGATGGGGAGCCTGAGGCTGGGAGTTGGTTGCCAGCACTGAGTGCTGAACACGGGATTTTTGAGGGATGACTCATTTTTAGGCATCTTCATAACGCAGTGCCAGAGAGCGGTGATTCCCAGGTATGTGCAGAGGCACCCGAGCGTCCCATGGCAGAGGCTGAAGTGCACTGCTGCCGCAGGTGTGCCCCCCACAGCCAAGCTCAAGAACTGGGCAGAAGCAAAAGCCCTGCGGTGCTGGAGGGCACAGTGTTCTCCGTGAGAGCACATGGGGCTGCTGCTAGCCCGTGGTGGGTGGGATCTTCTTGAAGGTCTGCTGTGCACCGCTGCTTTTTATCCAGAAAAAGTGTGCTCCAGGTATGAAAAGCTGCGAAGCGCTGTCAGAGAGAGATCCCATCTCGCTCTAGAACCAGGGCAGCTCTGCTTGGGATAATTAATCCTGATGAAAAGCACGTGATGTATTTTAATGCTTGCAGAACCCGAGCTTTTGTATCTGCTTGGTACTGCACGCACGCATTCGTAACTTGGCTCCAGCTGTGATGCTGCATATCTCTGTGGTCTCTGCTGAACTGCATAGCCTCTTGCTGGATTTGCTGCACAGACATAAGTTTATAAACCTTCCAGTTGTGAGGCAACTCTGGCTAGACCATTTGGCACTATGAGGCTGACTCCAGATGAAATTTTTATCCAGACTTACACTGGGTTGACATTTTTTTCCAACTCTATTTCAGAGGTTAAGTGGGATGTTGCAATGCCTAAGCCCTCTAAAGAGTGCTCAATTTCATCCTGTTGGGACAAGTAATATCTCAAAATCCCACATCTTGCTTTTCAAGCTTCAGCTCAACAAGGCTGGCTTTTGGGCTCTGGATGAGGAGCTGACTTCCTTTTCAAGGCCCAGGCTTGCAAGTCCTTCACAGGCGGTGTTTTCCTCCTCTTCCCAGGGGGAGCTTCTGGGCTTTTCCCACCCAGTTCTTTTCACTCTGCCTGCCTTCCTCCTTCCTTCTCTCTGTCCTGTACACCTTGCTGAGCTGTACGGAGAAGAACCTTCCCAATGAACAAGTAGTCAGAAATCCTAAAGCCTGTAACAGTGGCAGACCAGGATGCCATTCATTTATTTATACGTTACTTTCATTTACACATACTTAGATAATAGGATCCCTTCAATCAGAAAGCCCAAGGTGGCTTTGAAGGCTCTCATCCTCATTTTGCAGAGAGAGAAAGTGAGGCGCAGACCTTAAACGACTTGCTCAAGAGCTTAGGGAGTTGGCAGCAGTCAGAAATAAAACCAGCCTAGCTTGACTAGCAGTCCCTACTTTAATTTTTAAACATCACTGCTGTCCAGAAAAACAAAGGGGAAAAAATAATAACAAAGGTTATCATTTACAGATGACAGAGCTAAACATGATTACTTCCTCACCTTGCCATCTTTAATGCGAAGCCATCTTGTCATGGATTAGAGTAAGGAATAAACAGTTATTTCCAAGCTGCCCACAAATTTGCTTTTTGAATCCAGGAAAGTTATTTAACCTTATCCAGTATATTTTCTTTTGCTAAAAATGGGGATAACAATTTCAAATAAATGTGAAATATCTGCCAAATCCCACCTTTCCTTACTATCAATACATGACGTTTCAGAAAGATGTGCCACAATGTACTTGGCGTGTTACATACACTGGGGGAATCAGAAGAGGGGAAATACCTTTACCCTACTGTGCTTGATTTACATCTTGTATTTTCACCCACTAAAAGCAAACTAGAGTGATTGGCAGTCCTTTTTGCAGTTTGTTTAATTCCTCTGGAAACTCCAGCAACATTGAAACAGGTAAGATACTGTCACTTGCTACGAACTAGTTCACCCAGGCAGATTCTTTGGTTTCTTGCAGTTTTGTGATGTCGCTTCCTTCTAGATGTTGTGTTTTCTGATCCGTCCAACACAACTTTCATGTCTGTTTGCTCTTTTTCCAGCTTCTGGCCATCCTCACTGCTTCTTCTGTCACCTAGAGCTTGGCTCTGACCGGGAAGTGCCTTCCAGTTTTGTCCGCTATGTAGATGTGGAATTTGACATGCCCACCACTTCTGCATCCAAAGCCACTGTACGGTCCATCTCTGTTGAGGACAAGACCGACGTGAGGAAGTGGGTCAACTATTCAGCACACTACAGTTACAAGGTAAAACTGAGCATGTGGCAATCACCATGGTTACTTTGCACGCTTCGTTGTCTTGAAAAGTGTGGGCAGACAAATAAGATCCCATGGGCAGCTGAGGTGGGAATTTGGCACATGCCAGGCTCTGTGCAGGAGCTACCCATGTGCAGCCCATTGATTCTTGGCAAACAAGCAGTGGATTATCCCTCAGCAAAGATGGCATAAACTTGCTTGCAGTTGCTTTGTGGAAGAGCATACACGTACTGCTGGTACGGTAAGCGTGTGAGCAGGGAGTTTTGCTGCTCTTCACAGCAGCTACAGTGGGAGTGCTACAGCAGACAAAAGGATCACATTATTTCTCTACTTAAATATTGCTTCTTCCTGCCTGCCCTAAGGAGAGGAGCAGATGGGAAAATGCACTACGTATATACCTGCCAAGAATCTCAGTATGCCAAAATTTGCATGTTAGCTGATCACTCAGCAGAGAAATTGGCATCCTACCTGCCTTCCTTAAGAGCAATGATGAGAGATACTGAAAAGATTCTCATGGCAAATATTTTTAATGGTAATTGTAATTACATTTTTAGTAGTCTCTTAAATTCCATGGAGATGGTATTTGATCTTCCTAAGTATCCCTTGTAAGAATTAAACATTGGATTATCGCTGAGTTTTCGGAGGTGTTGAAATTTAGAACACAAATGTAGATGTGCATTTTGAAAATGAATCTCTTTGCTTTATACATCAGTCTTTGCAGAGTTTAAAATTGAGGCTGGTCTTCTGCTCTCACTTAGGAAAGCACCTATCCTCTGCAGATTTGGTTCTGGGTTTGGAATCAAAGTACAGCTAGGGATGGTAATGAATATAAATTATGTGAGACCGGTTCTCTGCATGACATTATCTCTTCTGGAAATGATGTCATGACATTGTTGAATCATAAAACTGTTTGGATTAGACTGAAAACACTTATAGTAAATAAAATCCAGCTTTCCCTCCTCAGCCTATTTCTTTTCACAACCCTCTCAGTTTACCAAGAGTTTCTTCACCTGAGCAGGACACGAACCGCCACTAAGGAAGATTTTTTAATCTTTTGTTTTCCTTTCTCATTACAAATGTTCTCCCTCTTTTTCCTCTGCCAGGTCGAAATAGAGCAGAAAAAAAGCTTGAATGACGATCTGAAGGGAGAAGATACTGCAAATGTCAATGAATGTGCTACGCAGTGAAGGAAGATCAGTCTGCAAGTCCCAAGGAGGGTGGTCAAATTAACAGACCTGGAAGAAAGGACTTGCAGGGTTTTGGTATTTTTCTTTAAAAAAGTATGGAGTACTACTGTTAAAATAATGCTCTAAAGAGTATTATTTTTCCTTGTGATGATCCGTACTTTGAGAAGAAGTTCATCAGTGGTTTGTTTGGAGTGGACCCATGGGCTTTTGCTGGAACGATTTAAGTACATTTGGGGTATAGACAGAATGACTCGTATAACAGACAAGCCTGCCTTTTCTGCCTCTTCACCATCTAGGTCCCGCACTGAAGTATGGTCTGGACACCATCACAGCCAAACCAGAAAGCAGCCTTTATCTCACTTAGAGTCTTGCCCTTCTACATTAAGCATTTTTTTTGTATGCCTGTCAGTTTGGTCATTGGCAGATTCACTTCCTTCTGAACTGCCAAATAAAACCCAGGGAGCATCGAGTGAAAAATGATATAAAATCTCATTTCTGAAGTGGTGAACAGAGTGAAAACCCTGAACATCATGCTGAAGAATCAACAAACTGCGTCTTCAACATAGTAAATGGTCAAGCAGACGACCTACAGACAGGACAGCTAATCATGTAGCTGTTCTTCTATTCACCCCTTCCTGTCTCATCCCCTGAACGACAACATGTCATTGTGCACATTTTCATGGGGTCTGCACAAGTTACAGGAAAGCCTCTGCTATTTCTTAAAATTTTTATTTGTTAGTCTGGGCTGTTCTGTTATCTTGACTGAATATGGTTATGGCTGCTAGTAATAGGGAATGTGTGTTATAATAGAGGTGATACAGGAGGGACTTTGCTAAGATTAGATCATTCCTGCCTAGAAAGATATCTAAGGGAAAAACATTGGGGTTTGTTTTTTTTTTTATATGTTTTCTTGGATGGGTAAGGTGAGTGGTTATTGAAAATGTCAGAACACAGTTACTTTAACAGACAATGTTGTTTGCTTTCCTAAAAATTCTTGGAAGTCTGTCCAGCGCAATATTACTTTCATGTTCTGTCTTGAACCTACAATATAAGTAACTTGTATCTTTATAAAACCCCCACTAACTGGGACCCAAAATCTCTTTTCAAAAATTAACAACAAGCTTCCATCACGGAGATTTTTTTATCTCCACTTAGCTGAAAGTAACAGCAAGTCTTAAAACTTTTTTCTAAATAAAAATGCAGAAGGCAAAAATCACTCATTCATATATTTTTTCAGAGAAAACAGTGTTCAAAGTACCCATTTTTATAGTTGTTTCCATGGCTTGTGTAATATTTTGTCTCGAGGTAATTTTACATGTAAAAAAAGTAATTTATTAAATCATTTATCTTTTGAAAGGTTACTGCTGACTTTAAAATCACACATTTGGAAAGCCTTGGCAATGTAATTTAAAATCATAATGAATTAAAATGAAAGCTTTTTTATAAATTTATAAATTTATTTTATTTTACGTTTCATATAACAAAAATGAATACGCTCTCGATTTACTACTTTCACTGTGACTCCTATAAAAATCACTACAATGTTAAAAACCCAAATAAAACATGAGATTAATTCCATTGTGTCGAAAACTGGTAGTGGTAGAATTTAAAACAAATTATAGGGAACTTATAAATGCTTTTTTGTATGCACCTAAATTTCAGGCCTACATCAACCTAGTGATACGTATTTACACAGGTGCACCGCTGTAAATACGTAAAGTCTCGGTCCTTCTAGGACTTCTTAATGAGCATGTAATGCTCTGTTGCAGGGAGTCCTACTGGAGCCCAGGGAGCTCCTCGGAGCACACCAGTTAGTACTAAGCATCTGCAACACCTCTCTGTAAATGGAAGAATGCTACTAACTTTTATGAAGCACTTTGAGATCAGTGGATTAAAATTACTGATAAAGTGCAAAGAACTATTATTTTTTATAGGTTGTGAAATATCTGAGAGCACGGGGCTGAATTCGTGGCTGATTCTCAGCTCTGTTACAGGCTGGCTGTGATGAGTTGCGTGGCAACTCCTCTCTACAAAATTCACTCTTCTTTTCAAAGGCACTCAAAGAACTTCTGGGTGTTTTTCCTGTTCTTCACTGCAGCTCCTCGTGTACAGTTTCTGAAAAGGACCAGCAAGAAATCCCACAAAACCAAGCTGAAGGAGTGCTGAGATGTTGCTGAGGAAGTGTGAGAATGTTGTTTTGTGACAGGAACAGTCAGGAGATGTTCTACTCTGACCTGCAGGCTCAGTGTCTGAATTCTGGCCTGTTGCCCCCAGCCCTTGAAAACACAAATAAGTAATAGCAAATAAACAAAATTATGTTGTACTCCTTGAAGAGGGGAGAAAATCGAAGGAATATCATTTTCCATCTCTGTTGAATTCTTGAACTATTCAGTCTCCATCATACTCCAGAATATTTCGTGCCCCCAAAATTGAAAGATGAACATATTGGAGGTTTCTGGATTTACTTAATTTCTCTACCTCTTCATCACTGATTCTGTTTTTTAATTCAAAGTTAATGAATTAAAGAAAGAGTATGGGCCTGACCCTGATGTCTCTTATGTAGTTAGTTATACGACAGAAGTATCTCTTCCAACCCTCATGGAGTTATGCAGGCAAAACTGGAAAAGTGTTCTGGGTTATGAAAAAGCTTGTTTAATCCGTTCTGATCTCTGGAGAATATTTTTCTGATGTACCTGCCACTGAATTTTCAAGAGTTTAGGATTAATACCTCAGCCAGCATTTCAAAAGATCTTATTTCCTATTGAAGCACTAGATTAAGTAGTTTGATTTTTCAAAAGACCACTAACAACCAAAATCTTTAGAAAATCTAGTGTTGGTATCACTGGGTGTCACCACTGAATTCTTTTTTCAGTCCAGCACCATTATGAGTGCTGAGCATTTGAACACTGGGATCCTAAGTGCCCTTTTTGAGGCTTCCACTGTTCTTGCTTGATTAAACAGTGCCAATTTTTCACTGTTAGATACTGTCACGTATGAACTTTATGTTCATGAACCATATACTCTTCATCCATAGGGGTACAGTAGTAATTTGGACAGACTGTTGATGGGAGTGAGGGGAAAAGAGCTGAGAGGTTTGTCAGTTTGAGAGTAGCAGAAATGATTTAGATACAAGCTATGCCTGTAATGGGGATGATTTTTTTTTTTTTTAAATCTTAGGGAAAAATCTCCTTGAGTAGTTTCAATTTAATACTCCTTTTGAGAAAGATACAATCATTGTCCTTTGATTTATTTGAAAGCTTTGTAGTACTCAAACACTCCGTGCAGGAAATGTGCCTTCAAGGTAAGCATACATTTACTCCCTGAAGCTATTCCCACTTTCAGCCTTCTTTCTAATTCTCATTATGGTTTTGTTTCATTTTTGTACTGTGGTAAGACTTGAGGTATTGCAGGGAATTTTCCCTAGAAAAATAAACTTAAACAGTCCTTATCACAAGGGGTAAAGATGAACATCATCTCCGGGCAGCTGATGAGCTTATTTTAGTGAATGCCTCTTACATTTATTAACTATAGACACTCTGCTAGCAAAGGAAAATGGGCAAATTCAGCTGAGAAATACTGTAACTGACTGATGTTATTTTTGTCCTTTATTTTATTTAGACTCAAATTTAGTCACCCTATGAAGGAGACAGATTTTAGGTTCTTCATTGTAGCAGTATCATCAGAAACATTGCAGAAATAATTTACCTTTTCTGGTGGGTTGCTGGCTGACATATTTACTTGACAGGACATCCAAGACCTGTTGGTCTGCCTGCCCACATGACTTCATAGCTGCTAAAACTCCTCTTGATTATTCACCTCCCAGGATAGATAGCAATTGCATGCAAAAGAGCATGAAAGCAAGAGGAAAAGGTGTACAAAGTTCAGCCTGGAGGTACTTACTCTGTTGCTTGCATGAAATTCTCAGTCATTTCCTTGGCCCTTAAATGCACACAAACTAATCAAGCCCTTGATAGGTCACCTCTGTTCCAGAGGGTGAAAAATTCCTTTCAGTGACTCTTAGCAGCTCGTGTTTATAGCTGTATTCATCTGCAGAACTGGCCAGCACAAGAATTTGCAGCACACAGAAATCACTTACGGATTAAGTTCTTGCCCTTTTCTGCCACTAAAAGTTAGATCTACATCATGAGTTGTCCGAGATACGAAATTTTGTGTGATAACAGGCATAGCTGTTCCCAGCCTTCCTGTTTTGTTCAGCCACCCATCCACCCACCCACCCATCCATCCATCCATCCATCTTCCCATCCGTCCTACCCTCCCTCCCTCTCTCTCCTATACTTGCAATTCATTCTTTGCACTATTGACATTGATTGGTTTGATGATTACTTTGTAACATGTTCCTACCTTTTTGTTTTGTAAAATAAGAAAGTCTATACACTGGCTAACTTTGTAGAAGTGTTTTTTTTTTTTTCTTTTTATTTTATCAGTTGAAATGGGATGTCATGTTTTGTCTGAACTATGGGAAAACTTAAATAAATGTTAAGATGGAACCGCATACCCACATTTTCACTGTGAAATTGAAATTGTGTGTGCTGTATATTCTGAGAAGTCAGAAGTCTTGAATTCAGAAGAGGAGAAGGGAGTGTTTTGAATGACATAAAGAAGGGCATAAATTAGAAGTAATGGGACTATATACAGAATAGAGATTATTTCATTTGATCATCCAGGCTGAACGATAGACTGCAAAGGAAATGGAGCAGGCCTAGAGCTTGAGCCACATCACAGGCGTGTGGAGCAGTGCTGACATAGTGTAGAAGAGGATCCAACACTTGAATGAAGCCATCCTGAAACACTGTAATTGCGAATTGACGCTTCTGCTCAGTGGGTCTCTTCTACTCCTGTCCTCTGACGGCTAAACCCAGGAGTACCTGCGAGGGCAGTGTCTTCCTGTGATCAGAACATCTGTTTGCAAGGCACGTGTAAGGATAAGGTCTGAACTATGTACAGAGTCCTCTGCTATGATTCTCTGTGTTCTTTCAAAC